TTCCCATGGGCTTTTGACATTTATGGCATATAGCCTTGCTCAAGAGCACTGAAGAATTACACGATGGATCTAGAACCTCCTGTCATCTTCACCTCAAAGGAATTACTAGACTGTCTCTTAAAGAAAGATAAAAATCAAGTAAATCATACATATCAACAAGAAAAATGCCAAAAGAGCACTTCAAAGGTGAATTCTCAACCTATTCTTTGCCCATCTATCCAGTTTCATATCCAGGCAGGCATGACATTCTCCCCTACCCCACACATCTAGTAACTTAACAAGTCCTATCAATTTTACCTCAAAATATCTCTCAGGTGTGTACCATTCTTTCCATTTCTGTTTGCAGCCCTCCCTTTCAAACTACTGGTGTAACTGCCCCGAGATACTGTGACAATCTGTTCCCAGCAGCCTCTGTTGTGTCACTCAAATTCCCACTTCAGAACTCTATACCCAGAGTGATGGTTTTAAAGAGCAGTCATGTCATCATCTCTCTGCTTAAAACCCTGTTAGAATTTTCCTTTGTTCTTTTGAAGAGCCAACCTCACGAAATAGCATACAAGGCTGTTAGTCTGCCCTCCATGGCCATTCTGGTTTTTCCACACCTGTTCTCTGTGGTCAGTCTTGATGATCTTCTGAATCTTAATGACATTCCTTTGGCTTTGGGCTTTCTTCATCAAGTTAAAATTCACTCATCCTTCAGGTTCTGGCTCAAATGACACTTCCTAGCAAGTCACAATGTCATATCTTTTCTTACCCTTTCACACTTTATTTTTTATAGTATTAAATAAAGATTTCATGTATGCATTCACTTCTGTGACTTTTTTTTTTTCAACGTTTATTTATTTTTGGGACAGAGAGAGACAGAGCATGAACGGGGGAGGGGCAGAGAGAGAGGGAGACACAGAATCGGAAACAGGCTCCAGGCTCTGAGCCATCAGCCCAGAGCCCGACGCGGGGCTCGAACTCCCGGACCGCGAGATCGTGACCTGGCTGAAGTCGGACGCTTAACCGACTGCGCTACCCAGGCGCCCCTCTGTGACTTTTAAAACATGTCTCTGTTCTAATAGATGGTAAGTCCCATAATGCAAAGGGCTATGCCTATTCAAGCTTCCCATTTCATCCCTAGAACTTAGTACCCTCCCTGTACTTAGTTGGAGCCGAAGCAATATATATTTCGTGAGCGTATAAATATATAAGCAAATAAATAAATAGCAATGGAAGATTATCTGGCTAGATCTACTTAGTGGAAAATGAAATGCAGGAATAATAGAGTGTTGTAGGGTTGCCTAACCCTAGGAATCAATTAGACCAACTTTAATTCCAGATTACCCCAGTGTAAGTGGCAATTCCAGAATGAACCTTTTTCTTATTGAAGTCCCGCTTAAACATTAAACTCATTTTTTTCATATTATGACTGCCTCTGCTTTCCAAATACTGTTTTGTTTCTAGCTCACTTGTGCATAGCATTTCTAGTATTAAAGAAAAGTTAGAATGATTGATTATTATGTCTCATAATTAATTTTTCAATAAATAGGCTAGTCCTAGAAAGGTATGAACTTTACAGTGCATATCATTTATACAAAATAATCTACCATATTTTCCATATTTATCTTATCCCCAAATACCACCTTTGTTGCAATGTTATGAGAACCATTATTTCCAAAGTCAAATCTAGCTTGCCTCGTGCCTCACACGTTTGCAACAGTTTTCTTTTCAAATTTTTATTTAAAAAATGTGTTGTATCTTGAAAAGAAACCAAAGACTCAGCAAACTTTCACAAAGCAGAATTTCTACAATTGTTGCTGCAGAGGAATAAATAGTGTGTTTTTACTCGTGAGCCACTGCTGTTCTTAGGACCTTCATTCCCCTTTTGGTTACATTTGCCAGATTTAGAATCCTGCTGTTTGGGTCTATAAGCAAAATGCTGCTTTTATGCAAAAGATGGTTGGGTGCTGGGTAGATGAGGTGCCTGAAAGTCGATAGGTCTGGGAAGTGATGTCTCAGAAGCCTTATGATGTCCCTCTGGCTGGGAGTGCCAAGGAGTACTGCCACTTTCCTGTTCTGGAAGCATGTTTCCATTAGGGATATGAAGTACTGAATTGAGAGCAGAGACGCATAGTTTCCAATCCCGCCTTGTGACCCGCAGGACACTAGCACCACATTTTGGTGACTTAATGAAGACGAAATCACATTACGTGACATTTTAATGCTTTGCTCAAACTGAGTAATTTGGTAATACCTACCAAAATTTAACAAGCAAATACTCTTTGTTTCCGTATCTAAGATAGCGTTGTCAGCAGAAGGAAATAAAATGGACTCACCCAAACCCCCTAAAAGCAACTGGTTTAGTCCTTTTACCTCCACTCAGAGGGAGGGCACTTTGTGGGCTGTGTCTGCTCTTCCAAGGCAACATTCTCTCTGGTCAGCTGTTCCAAGGTCTCTATTGGGGAAGAAGTTATTAGAAAGCCCTTTTGGGTCTCACATTAAGCTAAGTCCTTGTGTTTTTCATCAGCGTTAAACCTGGTTCTTGTGTTCTCCATCTGGTGACTCTTGTCACATCTCAATTGGTTCAGAAGTCTGGTGAGGAAGAGTCATGCTCTTTATTAGATCCTGTCAAAACCCCAAAGCATTGATATGCAGTGATCCTCGAGATATAAAATTAAGTGGAAAAAAAAAAAAGGTGTAGAGCAGTGGGTATAATTTGTGCTGAATAGAAGGATTTACATATATTCTGTTATATTCATTTAATATTTCTGAAAGTTTATACTGTGGGTGCTCCTAAGGAGAATTTTCAGGCAAAGAAAAAGGAAAAGAGAATGGCTTATTTTTTACTGTATACCCTATAATCTTTTTGTCATTCTAAAACTGTGTGTATGTAACTTTTTCAGAAAAGGCACCTTAAAATATAAAAACTTAAATGCATTCTAATTTATTTGAGCACAATCTGTTCTTTGGAAGCAACAGGATTAATAATACTACTAGAGATCACTGATTGAGAAATCTGCTATGTCAGGCTCTTTGCTAAGCCTTATGATTGCTGTCTCATTTCACAGTCCTATCAGCCCTATTGGGCAGATATAAATTGGAGATGAGGAACTTGGGCCCAGAAAGGTGATTTATACAAGGTCACACCATATGTATTAGAGCAAAAGTGTAGACTTAACCTGTGTCATTCCAAGGCCCATGCTTACTTCATTCTATCACACTGGAGTTCAGCCTTATAACTCATTTCATTTATTCACCCCGGAAAAAAATGTATTTTGACCTGTTCTTTACTAGGATCTAAAAGAGATACAATTTTTGTCAATTATTGACATACAACTTGCATACAATAAAGTGCCAAATTTTTAATATGATGGTGAATGAACTTTCAATCAATGATTACACTGGTGTATGAAATGTATACACCTGTGTAATCATCTCCCAGGTAAAATACAGAAAACATCAAGCATTGCTGAAGGCAGAAGCCTCCCTCCTGCCTCTTCTCAGACTATCTCCTCTTGGAAAGGTACACATTATTCTGACTACTATACCCACAGATTAGATTTGTCTGTTTGAAAACTTCATGTTAAGTGAATCACGCAGTATATACTATCTTGTACATAGTTTCTTTTGTTCAACATTACGTTTGTTAGATTCATTTAAGTTGTTGAATGATACCTATTTTTTTTCATTGCTGGGTAGTATTCCATATATATATATATATATATATACACACACACACACACACACACACACACACACACACACATGTATATGTACGTATATACACGTATATATGTGTATATATGTATATATATGTGTGTATATACGTATATATGTGTATATACGAGTATATAGATATATAATATTCTTCAGAATATTTATTTATATTTCTCCAATTTACTATAGATGGGTTTTTCCAGTTTTTAGTTATAAACAGAACTGTTATGAATACTTTTCTATATTTTTGATGCAAATACTTATTACTGTTGGGTGTATATGTAGGAATATTATTACTGAGTCATAGTGTATATTTGTATTCAGCTTTGGTACACACCATAGACTGAATGTTTGTTTCCCCACCAAATTAGTATGTTGAAACCCTACCCCTCAACGTGATGGTATCGGGAGGTGGGGCCTTTGGGAAGTCATCAAGATTAGATGGGCTGTGAGTCATGAATGGTGGGTGAATATACTAATTTATATCCCCACCAGCTATGTATACAAGTTCCATTTGTTCCATATTCTGAGCAGTATTCAGCAGTATTATTCTGGAGAATGTGTGGGAACATCTCTTTTTCTTATGTAGCTTTACATTATTTTGCATTGTTTTACAACTTTATTCAAGTTATATTCATATAGTATACAACAACCCACTTGTAAGTGCATAGTTCAATGATTTTCAGTAAATTGTGTTGCAACAATCTCAATAACTCAATTTTAGAACTCTTCTATAATCCCCCAAATTTCCTTCCTACCTGTATGCGATCGATCCTTTCTCTTTCCTCAAATTCAGAAAACCACTGATCAGCTTCCCGTCTTTATAATTTGGTCTTTCTCAAAACTGCATGTAAATGGATTCATGCAATTTTTAGTATTTTGTGTCTGTCTTCTTTCACTTAGCATAATGCTTGGAAGCTTTGTCCCATAATATGGAGGTTCACCTATATTATTTTGTGTATCAGTAGTTGTTTCTTTTTATTGCTGAGTAGTATTCTTTTGTATGTATACACCACATTTTATCTATTCACCAGTTGATGGGCATTTGGATTATTTCCAAATTTTGGCAATTAAAAATAATGCTGCCATGAACATTCACGTACAAGTCTGTGTAGAAATAGGTTTTTATCTACTCCTAGATCACTAGGAGTAGAATTACCCGGTTGTGGGGCATACTTTTTTTTTATATTGCTGCATAAAAAATCACCAGAAACAGCAGTCATTTATTTCCTCACAGTTCGGTAGGTCAAAAGTCTAGACTGGCTTACTTGGGTTCTCTGCTTAGGGTCCCGTAAGATTAGAGTCAAGCTGAAGGTCGGCTGGGCTCCTACTTGAAGATTGGTGAATTCCATTCAAACTCATTCAGATTGTTGGCAAAATTAGGTTCCTTTCTGTTGTAGCACCGAGGTCTCTGTTCCTTGTTGGCTGTGAGCCAGAAACTGCTGTCAAGTTCTAGAGATAATCAACATTCTTTATCAGGTGGCTCCTTCCATCTTCCACCCAGAAATGGCATATCACTCTTCTTTTGTTTCAGATCTCTGTGAAATTCCCTTATTCCGTCAGTTGGAAAAAATGCTCTGTTTTTAAAGTGCTAATGTGATTAGCTTGAGTGGACCTGTACAACCTCCCTTTAAACTTCAAAGTCAACTGGTTAGTAACCTTAACTATATCTGCAAAATCTCTTTTGACATATAGCCTGCTGTAGACTTAGTGGGTACTCCCAAAATTCATTTGTTGAAACCCTAAAGCCCAAAGTGAGGTTGAGAGTTAATTCTTTAAGAGTTAATTAGTTCAGAAGGGTAGAACCACTGGATGGGATTAGTGCTCTTATGAGAGACACAAGAGAGCTTACTTTCTGTGCTCTCTCTGCCGTGTGAGGATATAATGTTCATCTGCAAACCAGGAAGAATGATCTCAGCAGGCACTGACTCTGCTGATACTTTGCTTGAATTTGGATTCTCCAGCCTCTAGAACCAATACAAATAAATTTCTGTTATTCAAGATATTTCGATCTATGGTATTTCTTTCTTATAGCAGCCCAAACTGACTAAGACATAACCTAACATAAACAAGTTTGATATTTCCTTATATTCATGGTCCTGGGGGTTTGGGGAAGAAAATCTTGGGGGACTCATTTTGAAATCTGCATACCTCATATGGCCATGCATGTTTACATTAAAAAAACAATGGAGCACCTGGGTGGCTCAGTTGCTTAAGCGTCAGACTTCAGCTCAGGTCATGATCTCATGATTCATGGGTTTGAGCCCCGTGTTGGGCTCTGTGCTGACAGCTCAGAGCCTGGAGCCTCTCTTTCTGCCCCATGCTCTGTGTGTGTCTCTCTCTCTCAAAAATAAACAAATGTTAAAAAAAAAAAACAACAACAACACTAACAAGTGCCATACTGTTTTCTAAAGTAGCTGTAGTATTTTACAGCAGTCATACCACTAATTTATAAGGATTCCAGATTTTCCATATCCTTATGACAATTTCATCTTGTCATTTTTATGCCCATTATGTTATGTATATATGAATGTATAATGTGGTGTATCATTGTATCTTGACTTTTACTATGGATAATGATGCCGAACTTCTTTTCATATGCTTCATATTTTTTGGTAAACTGCCTATTAAAATATTTTGCCCATTTAAAAATGGTTATTTTTCTTCTTAGTCATAAGAGTACTTTATATTTCTGAATATGTCATCATCAGAAAAATTACGTAAATATATCCTATGATTCTAGCTTATATTTTCACTTTCTTGACAATTATTTTAAGGAAGAAAATGTTTAAATTTTGATAGAACCCAATTTATATCTTTTTCTTTTATGGATCATGCTTTTGATATCAAATGTAAGTAATCTTTGCCTAACCAAAGGACACAAAGATGTTCTAGTTTTATACTTTTAAAACCTGCATTTAGGACTTTGATCCATTTTGAATTAGTTTTTGTATATTATATGAAGTATGGGTCTCTACTAATTTTCTATTGCTGCCTAACAGATTAACACAAATCTAGGAGCTTAAAACAACACACACTTACTGTCTCATAGTTTCGTTGGGGCCAGTTTGGGCACAGGGTAGCTGCATTCTCTGCCCAGAATCTCACAAGGCCACAATCAAGATGCCAACTGGGCCACATTCTTATCTGGAGGCTTAATTAGGGAAAGATCCATTTCCAACCTCATTCAAGTTGTTGGCAGAATTCATTTCCTATGGCTATGTGACCAAAGGCACTGGCTTTCTTCTGGATGTCTGCTGGAAGCTGACCCCAGGTCCTAGAGACCACTCACAGTTCCTTGCCATGTAAGCCTCCTCATTATGGCTGAATACTTCATCAAGTTAGCAAGGAGATTCTCACTCAAGCCTGCTAGGAGAGTCTTACACAATACAATGTAATTACGGGCATCATTCCCCATAACTTCTGCTACATATAACATTACCTAATTAAGGAGTGACATCCCATCACTTTTGACACTTCTTATTAGTCACAAATCATAGGTTCCAGCAGCACTCGAGGGGAGAAGATTACACAAAAGCATGGACACAATACAGTGGAAATATTGGGGGTCATCCTAAGGTTTATCCAACACAGAATCTAAGTTGATATTTGTTTCTTGATTGCACCCTTTGTTGCAAAGACTATCCTTTCCTTATTGTTGAACATACTGCCCTATTGCCTATTGGCAAATTGTTGAAAATCAGTGGATCATAAATATTATAAGGGTTAATTCTTGGACTCTCAATACTGTTCCTTTGAGCTATATGTCTATGTTTATTCCAGTATCAAAGTTTTAGCCCTCCAATTTTGTTTTTCTTTTTCAAGATTGTTTGAGTTATTCTGAGTTATTTTCATTACCATGTATGTGTTAGGACAGATTGTAAATTTTTCCAAAAAAAATATTATTCTGGGATTTCAACAGGGATTTTATTGAAATACAGATGAAATTTAGGGTGAATTGCCATATTAATATTTTGAATTTTCTAATCCATGAACATGGGTGTCTCTTTTATATTTATATCTTCTTTAATTTTCTCCACATTTTTTTTTGTAATTTTCAGAGTACAGGCCCTGAATTTATTTTATTAAATGTACTTCTATATTATTCTTTTTGATGCTATTGCAAAAGTCATCATTTTCTTAATATTGTTTTCATTCTATTAATTGCTTAAATAAAGAAATACAAGGGATTTTGTGCATTGGTTTTATATTCTGTGACCTTGCTAATCTTGCTTATTAATTCTATTATTATTTCTGTGTTTACATATAAGATCGCATTGTCAGTGAATGAAGACAATTTTACTTTTCTAAGTTCTAATGACTTTTTATTTCATTTTATTGGCCTGTTATACCATGCAAAATACCCAGTTAACTATAAGTGGTGAAACTGGACATATTGATTTATTTCTTACTTTAGGGGAAAAGCATTAATTCTTTCACTATTATGTATGATCTTAGGTGCAAATTTTTCATAGATCCCTTATCAAGTTGTGGAAATTTTTTTCTATTCATAGTTTGCTCAGAATTTTTATCTTGAAATTATGTTGGATATTTTCAAATACTTTTTTTGGATTTATATATAAAAACAATAGTTTTGTTTTATTTTTCATTCTATAATATGGTATATTAACTGATTTTGGATTTTAAGCTAATTTTGCTTTTCTGGAATAAATCCCTCTTGGACTTCTTTATATATGTTGCAGCAAACACTCTTTGCTAATATTTTGTTAAGGTGTTTTGCATTAAATTAATGATGCACATTGGTAATTTTTTTTACTTGTGATATCTTTCTTTGGATTTGGTGTCAGGGTGGATGGCCTAATAATATTACTTGAAAAATAGTTCTTTTTTTATATTCTGAAAAAAAATGTGTATGGTTAACATTTTTTTTCCTTAAATGTTTGGTAAAATTCACCAGTGAATCTGTCTGGGCCTGGGTTTTTCTTTGTGAAAATATTTTAAATTACTTAATTCAGTTTGCTTATTTCATATATGTTTATTCAAAATTTCTATTTCTACTTGAAAGATCTATTTTGTGTCTTTGTAATTATTTATCCATTTTACCTAAATGGTCTAATATGTTGTCATAAATTTGTTTGTAATACTCTATTATAATCCTTTAGTTGCTTTAGAATCTGTAGTGGTGCTTCCTATTTCATTTCTGCTTTTGGTAATTTGTAGCTCCTTTAATTTCTCTTTTGGTCAATTTACGTAAAAGTTTATCAATTTTTAGATGTAAATTTTTTTGATGTTTATTTATTTTGAGAAAGAGAGAGTATGTGCACATGGGAGTGGGGGAGGGGCAGAGAAAGAGGGAGAGAGAGAATCTTGAGGTGTTCCATGTTCAGCACAGAGCCCAATGCAGGGCTCAATCTCACAACCATGAGATCATGACATGAGCCGAAATCAAGAGTCAGACACTTAACCTACTGAGCCAACCATATGCCCTAGATTTTTAAAACCTAGCTTTGTTTTTATTTTTTTCCTAGTTTTTAAATTTTCTGTTTCATTGATTTCTGGTCTGATACTTATTTCCTTTCTGCCACTTTGGGTTAGATTTAGTCTTTTTTTCCTAGGTGCTTAGAATGTATCAGGATTATGGGTTTTAGATCTTTCTTTCCTTCCTATATAAACATTCAAAGCCATAATTTTCTTTCTAATCACTGCTCTAGTTCCATCCAATAAATTTTTATGTCATATTTTATTTTCAGTCAGTTGATTATGTTTTCCCTTTCTTTTTGACTTCTTATTTAGCCTATAAAGTATTTAGAAGAGTACTGTTTAATTGCTAATACTTGACGTATTTCCAATTTTCTTTCTGTTGCCAATTTCTAATTTGATTCAGTTGTAGTCAGAGAACTTACATTGCATGATTTCAGTCTTTTCAAATGTATTTAAGCTTGTTTTATGCACTCACATATTGTCTATAATGGAGAATGTTCTATGTGCACAAAACAAATGTATTCTGTTTTCTGTGGAGTAGAATGTTCCATATATGTTCCATATATGTCAGTTTGATCAAGCTGGTTGATAACGCTGTTCAAGGGTTGTGTATCCTTACTGATTTTCTGTCTAGTTGTTATGCCATTTCCTGAAAAGAGAGTATTAAATTTCCAGGTGTAAACTTGAATTATATATTCCTCTTTTTAATTTGTCATTTTTTTGCTTCATGCATTTTAGGACTCTGTATATATATATATATATGTATATATATATATATATATATTTATAATGGCTATACCTTCCTGACATACTGCCCTATTGCCATTTTTATTATTATGAAATAGGTCTCTCATCTTTTCATATTTCTTGTTTTAAAGTTTTGCTTTATATTAATGTAGTCACTCTATTTCTCTTATGGCTAATGTTTCCATGGCAAATATTTTTCCATCTTTTCTTTTCAACTTATTAGTCTTTGATTCTAAATTCTTAGAATGATGACTAAATTCTTA